TTAAAGGGAAAGTTTTTTAAATGTTGCATCTTAAAGTGAAATACTAGTTTACTTTAAATTACTATGATTGATAAATGAAAAATTTAGTAGAACAGCTAGCAGTTCTGTAACGCTTAAATCTTTTAACTATGAAGCATAACTAATGAAGTTTGTATCTAATTGTAGGAGCAATAAAAAATATAAAACATGGTTACGGTTGCAAGCGTTGGTAAATTAGATAGCGTTAGATTTATGAAACATTATGGCAGCGTTCAGTGAAGAAATGAAGTCATAATTAAATGTAACAATCCATAACGAAATGATTTACATATTTTTAATTATGAGATTCAATGTTAAATAAACGTTCCGATAAGCGAATTATGCGTAAGAAAGATAAATTCTTGAAATGGTTATATCATCTAAAGCTTGGAAGTATTATTTCGTCAATAAGTATAAAATCATAGAATTAAACAAAATTACTGAAATACACAAATTAGTTCTAGCTGTAGTGAAGATTTGCATAACAACTTTATAAGGTTAGTTTTCTATTAATTAAATCGTTAAATTAATATTGTAGTATATAAACTCGTAATCGATGTGGTTATAAATTAATTTCACGAAGAATTATTTACTCATGCCGCGAGGAATAAAGAAACATTCTTTAGCTCCTAAGGAAATATCGTGGAATGAGTATAATAAATATACATACATGGATACATAAAATTTAAAAAAAAAGTATCTAATACTATCTATTTATAAAAAAATTTCTATTTCAAAAGAAAAAGCTTAAACATCGAGAATTCAGCACTTTAGAAATGATTATTTTTAGAATATGTAAAGCTGCTTCAATTTGCCTTCAAAAAATATTTATGTGACACATGTCTTCTTACAGTGTCACACAAAGTATCTCCATGAATTTGCACTAAATTACAAAATCAATTTCACTCCTGAATGCAGTATGTGTTAAACGCATAAACCTAACAGAGAGAAGGCTAACAACCAGGGTAAATTTCTGGCTACCTTGTGACATCGAAATTTTATGTCTCTCGTTTCTCATTCTCGTTCGTCAAAGCAGTCTTCTGAGATTTCGACAAGGTAACGAAACGAACGGTTCCACTTAAAACGATCACCTTGCATACGTGACTGACGTGCATGTGCATGTATGTATGTACTCACATGCTAATTGGAACTGAAACTTTCAAGAAATGCTAACGTTTGACTATAATTTATATCTAAAAGGAAGTACGAGTAACAAAGAATATTAAAAACTTATGGAATTGCTATTTTCACAGAAAAATTCTTTTATCTGATTCTGTACCATTGAATACAATACGAATCTTGCGAAACAATGTTTTGGCAGAAAATAAAGAATATTAACCACAACGATTACAAATTATCTATTTCTACAAGCACAAATTACTTATCAAACTCAAATTTTCACCACATTTGAAAAAAATCACTCAACATCTTCACATCAGTACCACCAGGACGACAAACTTGTAAAAACATTTATTTATTCACATTGTCATCGAAATTATAGAAACTTCCAATAAAAAAACACACCAATGTAAATCGTAATTATCGTCGTGATGAAATTTTCGCGCGAAAAAATAACAATGTAGTCATTCCAACCACTTTCCCTTGTTCCGTTAACGAGCTAACAAAACAGACGATTACGCCTAATACGATCACCCTGTATATACGTGATCCGCATTTCCCTGTCCGTGGCGAGGCATGCACGCTCTCTTTCTCTCTCTCTCTCTCTCCCTCTCACCTCCCTCTCCTCTTCTCCATCTCTCTCGATTCCATCTCTCGACAATGACCACATCCACGGATACTCAGCACGGCAAAAGGAACAAGCGGAACGAAAAAGATGACTCCGTTGTTGGGGGTCAAGGACAACGTTGCCAT